AGAATTACAGGTGAAAACCCAAACCGTAAAGATCATGAGAGACAAAATGGGACCAAACTTAAAAGCCTTAGCCTATGGCATAAACTGGTTTATAAATATAGCCAGAAAAGCACAACCAAGAGATGATAAAATCAATGAGTGGGACCTGTTTTGTTCCTGTTTTGGTGCCATTGTGAAAATACATATGAAGATCTTTTTTACATGTATACTTCAGGAACCTTGGTTACATTCATAGAATTACTACCCTTCATGGAGTTACTACCATGAATGTAACCAATGTTCTTGAAATGTACATATAGAAAAGATTTTTTAATGTATTTTCATAATGTCAACAAAATAAAGCTAAAAAGAAACCACAGGAAAAGAATAAAACCCCCCACAAAAACCAAAAACGTTTTTGTGATAGGGTAAAAAGAAAACCTACAAATTAGAGGCCAACAAAATTGGCAATGACACTTCAGACAAAGGTCTCATGACAAAAGTTTACAGAATACTACAGGGCCTCCACAAGAAAAAGCCTGAAAACCCAATCACAAAGGAGCAAAAGATATGAAAAGCCTCGTCACCAAGAAAGAACTTTGGAAAGCCCACAGACACATGAAGAAATATCCAAAATCACTTATAGTCAGAGACATACAAACCAAAACAACAATGAGATATCACCTCACTCCAGTAACAACAGCAAAGTTCAACAGGATAAGAAATAAAATTGTTGGAGAAGATGCTGAGAGATTGGGTCTCTCATACATGCTGGTGGGGTTATAAAATATTACAGCTGCTTAGGAAAGGAGTTTTGCATATCCTCAAAAGGCTGAACATAGGAATCTCATATGACCCAGCTGTTTCATTGCTAAGAATGGAAAGTAGAACTGAGACACAAACAGAGATATAAACATATATTCATAGCCACATTTTTCACAATAACAAGAAAATAGAAACAGCCCAAATGTGGAATCAGCAGGAGACTTATTGTTTTGGGCAAGTCCACTGTCAGGCACCTTTCCAAAATACTTAAGAGCAATGACATCAGATTGATAAAAAAGTATACCTGATTTAGTCCATGATCTTTTCAAACACATGTTATGCATCTGAGCTATAAAATGAATAAGGATGAGAATAAAAATCTTTGAGCCATGGTGCTGGAGAAGAGTACTGAGTATCCCAGGTTGTTGTTGTTGTTGTTGTTGTTTAATGCCGTCGAGTCGTAGACGACTCATAGCAACCCTATGAACGAACAGCCTGAGCACTGTTCGTACATTGAGTTTCTGGAGGCAAGCCATTTCGGAAGTGGATGCCGCTCCTGCTTCCAGGCTTGATTTAGTCGGGAAGCTCCAGCCAACACTGTCCACCATGGGTGCCCATTACCACGATTGGCACATCACTGTCACAGGCTTCAGCATCACAGCAACCATGAGTTACCTCCGTACAGCAATGCACAGACCAGTGCTATACCACCTAGAAGAATGTTTGACAGGAAGACAATTTGAACCTTTGGGCTTAAGGCCACCTCCTGGTTCAAACCCTAGGCCCAGGCTGGCTAGCCTCACTCTAGGGACAGAGCAAACCTGCACATCAAACACATTCCCAGAAAAGCAGTCGACTCCAAAAGCTTGCCACAATTCCTGCACTCCCACCACCACGCTCCTGCCTTCTGGCAAGGAGAGCTTCCCACGAGCCTGGGAGGAGCCAGCCAAACCAGGAACAACATGGCCATTTCTTCCCAGCTGCCTTGGGCTTAAGGCCGCCTCCTGGTTCAAACCCTAGGCCCAGGCTCGCTAGCCTCACTCCAGGGATAGAGCAAACCTGCACATCAAACACATTCCCGGAAAAGCAGTTGACTCCAAAAGCTTGCCACAATTCCTGCACTCCCACCACCACGCTCCTGCCATAGACTGCCAAAAGGAAACAACATTTATGTTTTGGGAAAAGTACAGCCAAAGTGTGTCTTGTAAGCTCAGATGATGAGACTCCATCTTTGTAAATGCTGCTAGGAGAGGCTATACTTTGGAAAGAGATGTCATGCTTGGAAAGATGGAAGATCAGTGAAAGAGAAGAAAGATCCCAATGAGATGTGTTGACTTAGTGACTGCATCAGTGGGTCCAAGTGTATAGAGATGATGATGAGGGCACAACACAGGTGAAGATGCAAGTCTGTTGTTTATAGGGTCGTTATGAGTTGTATTTGACTCAATAATAACAATTATTGAAATCTGTATATTTTGGACATTGCTTACTTTGTCATCCAAGCTTGCTAGTCAACCAAGGAATACTCAAGTTTTCTTCTGTTAGCTAACAACTATCAAATTTTTTCATATTTTTGCAAATAAAATATAAGGTATCAGGTTTGGTTGACTTTCTCCTCCACTATAAATCTTGCTTTGGGCATTTTTTTTTTCAACTAGCCAACCTGTTGAATGCCTCTCAGTCAGCTGAGAACTGATTTATATACATAAGATTTACCTAAGATTCTGTAAACTTTTTTTTTTAAATTTTTTTATTTTTATTGTATTATTTTTATGTGTACCGTCAAATCAGATCTGACTGGTACAGGAGGAGATTGCCCCCTCCTTCTCCAGCAGAGCATCTGGTGGATTTGAACCCCATACCTCTGGGATTGCAGTGCAGTCAGTGTCTTGCCACTTAGGCCACCAGAGCTCCCTTAGATTCTGTAAACTTTTTATATGAGACCCTTACAGAATCTTAGGTATTTCTTATGCATGTAAATCAGTTCTCAGTTAAACCAGTTCTCATATCAAAAGCTTACAGAATCCTACAGGGCCACCACAAGAAAAAGACTGACAACACAATTACAAAACGGGCAAAAGACATGGAAAGACTTCACAGAGGAAGATATTCAGATGGCAAACAAACATATGAAGAAATGCTCAAAATCACTGGCAATAAGAGAGATGCAAATCAAAAGCACAATGAGATAACATCTCATTCCAATAGCCGTGGCAAAGTTTCACAGGACAGTAAGTAATAAATATTGGAGAGGATATGGAGAGATAAGAATTCTTATACATTGTTGATGGGATTGTAAAATGGTACATCCGGAAGGCAGTTTGGCACCTGCTTTCTCAAAAAACTGAGCATAGAAATTCCATATAACTCAGCTATTCCATTGCTTGGAATATATCCTAAGAGAGTGAGAACTGAGATACAAATGGAGACTGGTATACCAATGTTCATAGCAGTGTTATCCACCATCACAAGAACTTGGAAACAGCCCAAGCGTCCAACCACAATGGGTTAAGAAATTATGGTACTTTCCCATGTTAAAATACTAAGCAACATGCAGGAGCAATTATTTGTAAATTACTGCCTAATTTGGGAGGACCCAGAGAGCATTGTGTTAAGTGAACTAATTAAGTCCCATAAGGACAAATATTGTTGTATAAGGCCATTCCTATAGAATGAGTATGAGGATCCAAAGGGGTGGGGAGGGTAGGAGCAGAGGGCAAAGGATGGGAGGGATGTTAATCATAGAGCTGCACAATTTAATGCGTGGAGGGAGTGGGAGGTGAAGGAAATGGGAAAGACTTAGAAAAACAATGTATATGAATTTTGTAAATAAACCAGTATAAAATAAAAAAAAAATAATCAACCAAGAGATTTTACTTTTTATTGATTTGTTCTTCTAAAATATTCTTTTAAATTTGTAATAAATCACTTTTATTACAAAGAAAATGCTTTAAAAATGAGTCACACATTCTCATTAAAATGCCCTTCATTTCCAAGCACTGCTGATTTTCTTCCCACAGAACCTTCTACTTCATCCTTGGCATGGCGTAAAACCACCTTGGGCCTGATAAGTCTGTGCTTTCTACTGATGATTGGACTGGCAATCTTAGGAATTAAATGTATGTATCACCCTTGCACCTATAATTGCATGAATTTTAAAACCAATTTTCTTCTTTTACTTAAGAGAATGGAAGTTGTCCATTTGACATGTTGTTTTTTCTGTTATGTGCCATTGAGTCATCTTCGACTCATAGTTACCCTATGCACAACATCTCTGAGCAATGATTTATCCTGAGCCAATCTCAGTGCCTCTGACACACCTACCATCATTATCCCAGTTACTGTGTCAATGCACCTCATCCACGGTTTTCCTCACGTATGCTGTCTCTCCACCCATCTAAGCATATCTTTCTCCAAGGTATGGTCCCCCCTAACAACATGCCTAAATTATGCCAGACAGAGCCTCAAAATCTGCCTCCAAGGAACAGCTTTGTTTTACTCGCTCTAGGACAGACTTGTTAGTTCTCTTGAAAGTCCATGATATACTCAATACTCTTCTCCAACACCACAACCCATGTTGTTGTTATGTGCCACCAAGTCACTTGCAACTCATAGCCACCTTATGTACAACCGCCCTAAATTCTGCTCTGCCCTGTGCCAATTACACTGTCTCCAACACACCCACCCCAATTACCCCAGTCATCCACCTCATAGAGGGTCTTCCTCTCCTAAACTGTCCCTCCAACCTCCCAAGCATGATGTCCCTCTCCAAGGACTGGTCCCTCCTTAAAACACGTCCAAAGTATGTCAGATGAAGCCTCCAAGGAACAGCCCAGTTTAGCCCTTTTAAGGATGAACCTGTTTGTTTTCTTAGCAGTCCATGGTATGTTCAATACTCGAGCACCACATAGGCATCAATTATTCTTCTGTCATCTTTTGTCATTCCCCCCTCTCTGATGCATAGCAAGTAATTGCAAAGACCATGGCCTGGATCAAGGACACTTTAGCCTCTAGACTGGTCCTGCTGTTCTTTAACACCCTGCCAGCAGATTTTCTTATTCCAATTTGTGTTTTGATTTCCTGACTGCTAGTGCCAAGAGTGTTGATTGTGGAACCAAGCAAGTTTTTAACCTTTTTATCTTATTCCTGTAGAGCTACCATTTACCTTCTCAATAAGATGTCTCAAAAATAAAGTTGTGGTTCTAATGAGGGAGAAAAATATTATTAAAGCTTCTATTTGTTTCTCTCAATTTAAGTTTACAGAACCACAAAGATAGAAATGGAAAAACTACAACATCTCAAAGAAGAATTTCAGAGAAATGTTTCTCTGCAACAGATGAGCATCATGAATATTTCCAAGGATCACTCCACCATCTTGCAAAATATAGCTACAAAGTTATGTCGTGAGATAGTTAAAAATAATAAAGGTAATCTTGTGTTCCTCTCTGTAGTATTAAGCAATGAGCTACATTTTAGGATTACTTGATAATTATTTCACCAATAGCTAAGAATATTGTGGATGCAAGCATTATCTAAGTGAGAGAATTGACTATGGTTAACAGAAGATTCTATACTATGTCTAGGTGAACTCTGATGTCCATAGATAGTTGCACTGCTAATTCAGTGTAACTAGGTTCTGTGGAAATTTGAATCTATCAATGGTTCTGATGGGAAAACATTGTCAATTTCCTCTTGCAATTTAAAACCTTTTGAAAACCTCTGATGGAAGGTTGGCTATTAGTTGGTTATGACTTCAATACAATTAATTTGGGGTTTTGCTGTTCTTAGTGTATACAGAAAATACATGCCCAATCGAGGACCAAACTCACATTCTCTTGCCCAGTGTGGTAGTCACTCTGTCAGTTTGTGCCCCTGACAGTCTTCCCTTTGCTAATTCTCCATATTTCCAAACATGATGCCCTTTACTAGGAATTTGTCCCTCCAGAGAACATATCCAAAGTATATAAAATAAACCATCATTATCTTTGTCTCTAAAGAACACTCCAGAACAGAAACATATTGTCCAAGAAAACTCTGTTCCTTGTTTCGTCAACCCATTGCATATTGAATAATCTTTTCCATTACAATTCAAAGGCATCAATTATATGTCTTATTTGTTCATTGTCCAACATAATATTTTCTCTCTCATTGCTGTTGAATAAGAATCAGCTCATGTTTTTGTTGCTGTAGTTAGGTGCCTTTGAGTTGGGTATGATTCACAGCAAAGTTAAGAATGACAGATATGAACCCTGCCCTATCCTGTGCCAACTTCGCAGTTTCTGACACAGTTGAACCCGTTGTCACAGTTACTGTATCAATCTACCTGGTTGAGGAGCTTCCTCTTTTTCATCCTCCCCCTACTCTCCAAAGCATGATGTTCCTTTCCAATGAATAGCCTCTCTTAGCAGCATGTCCAGAGTATGTGAGGCAAAGTTTAATCATCTTTCCCACAAAAGTGCACTCTGATTGCACTTTTTTTTTAAAGACATATCTCTTCTTTTGGCAGTTCATGGGATATTCAATACTCTGTTTTCCAATATCACAGTTCAAAATCATCAATTTTTCTTCTGTCATCCTTATTCACTGTATTAACTTGTAGCAGACTCAATGTTTTCAAGTCTGAAAAATCACATGAAAGGAGATTGCTTATACTCCTACTTAAGAGTCTCTGGTGGAATAAAACAGAGAGATGCTGTCTTTGGGTTAACAGTGACACTTCCTAAGGACTACATCACCAGAGTTCCCTAAAAGTGTTTGTTGTTTACTATGTACCATCAAGTCAAATACAACTCATAGCAACTATATGAACAACATATCTGAACTCTGTCCTATTCTGTTACATCTTCATCATTGCTGACACATTTGAGCTCATTACTGCAGTCAATCCATCTAGTTGAGGATCTTTCTCTCTTTCAACACCCCTCCACCTTTCCAAGTATGAGGTCCTTCTCCAAGGAATAGCCTCTCCTAGCAACATGCCAAAGGTATTTGAGATGCAGCTTGTTATCTTTGCTTCCAGGGGAGCACTGGCTACACTTTCTCTAAGACATATTTGTTTGCTCTTTTAGCTTTCCATGAGATACTCAGTGCTCTTCTTTAATATCACAGCTCAAAGGTGTCAATCCTTCTCTGTCATCCTTATTCACTTTTCACTTATCAGATACATGGCAATATTGAAAAGGCCAGGGCCTTAATCAGACACACCTTAGGCTTCAAATTGACTCCATTACCATGGATGTTGATTACGGATCCAAGTAAGATGAAATCATTTACAGTTTCAAACTTTCCTCAGTCTATCATAATTATACCTTATTAGCCCAACGATAAATTTTGTATTCTAGAGTTAAGATATAATCCATATTTAAGGCTATAATCTTTAAAATTCTACAACAAAAACACTTAAGTCCTCCTCACTATCAGCAAGCAAATTTTTATATCTGAATAATGTAGGTTTTTTATAGCTATTCTTCTGATCCTGAAACTACATTTTTCTTCATTGAATCTAACTTATCAAATAATTTGCTCAGTACACAGATTTAATAGGTATGGAGAGAGGATAAAACCTTGATGCACTTTTCTTAATTTTAAACCATTCAGTATTCTCCTGTTCTCTTTACAGCATCCTCTTTGTTTAGGTATAAGTTTCTCATGAGCATAATTAAGTGTTCTGGAATTCCCATTCTTCTCAGTGTTTGCCATAATTTATTATATAACTTCTTCCTTCAATACCATTGACACTTGATCATATGGTATTTTTTGGACTACTTCAGTATCAGTCAATTCTTTCTGGTACATGGATTCTGTGTTTTCCCTTTATTTTCTTTTGATGCTTCCTGGATCATTCAAGATTTCACCACCAGTGTCTCTTAGTATTACAACTAAAGATTTGAATTTGTTTTTCAGTCTTTGAGCTTGAATAATGACAAATAAATTCTTTCATTTTTATTCTCCAATTCCAGCTTTCAGCACATTCTATTACATTACTTTGTCTTCTGGGGCTGACCTTTAAAAATCTTCTGTTTACCTTTATTCCTTCAATATCTCTTCCCTTTGTTTTGGCTTCATGATACACTAGTGCAATTTTCAGAGTATCTTCTGACATCTATTTTGGGTTTTTTCTTTCTTTTTTTTCCCCCCTTGTCTTTATAATACTTTGTTCTGTTCATGGATGATATCCTTGATGTCATCCCACAACTCATCTGGTCTTTCATCATTGGTGTTCAGTACATCAAAACTATTCTTATGATGATTTATAAAATGAGGTGGTATAGACTTATGATTATGTTTTGGTTCTCATGGTTTTATTTTTGTTTTCTTCAGTCTCAGTTTGAACTTCCCCATGAATACTTAATTATTCCACAGTCAGAAATTCCCCTGGTTTTGACTGTTGGCTGTTGATACTCTCAACAATTCCTTCCACATGTATAGTCAATCTAATTCCTATGTAATCCATCAGGTGAAGTCCATTTGTAACATTATCCTCTGTGCTTCATTTAAAAAAGGTACTTTCAATGAATAAATCATTGAATTTATAGAATTCCATCATTCTCTTTCAAGTCTTATTTGTGTCGCCAAATCAGTATTTTTTTATAAAATTTTCATTTTGTACTGGTTAATTTGCAAAGTTTGTATACATTTTTTTTCACACCAGATCTTTCCCAGGCCATTACCCACCCCTCCCTTCACCCCTCATATTGTGCAACTTTAGGACTACATCCCCCATTTCCATCATCACCCCCCTGCTCCCCTTTAATCCCCCTTAGATCCTCATACACATCTTACTAGTTATCTATGTCTATAATAATGGTCTTATGCAGTATTTATCATTACAGGACCGGGTTAGTTCATTTAGAATAATGCTCTCCAGTCTGTACTTTCTGGCTACAATTTCTTCTTCATTGTTTCCAATTTCTGCACTTCAGTTTGCATTTCACCAAGTACCCTTAACATATCTTAACTGTATGTTTGGTCAAATTTCGACAGCAAGATTTGGTAAAAGTCTTCAATTATCTCCTTCTTGGCTTTAGCTGTTTGTATTCAAATAATAGTTGTATTAACACATCTTCCTTGTATTCATATGGAAAATACCACATCACCAAATTGAACTTCAAGATAGAATTTGAATTTTTTTAAACTATAAATGCAAAACTATTTTCTGTTTTTCATCCCCAGCATATTATACCATGTGATTGTCTAATCCAAAGTGATCAATACCAGTTCATCTCATCTCACTAATACCTAAAAGGTCAATGTTCATGCATTCAACTTAACTTTTCACAACTTCTGTTGTTGTTGTTGTTGTTAAGTGCCGTCGAGTCACTTGCAACTCATAGCGAACCTATGTACAACAGCCCTAAACTCCGCTCTGTCCTGTGCCAATCACACTGTCTCCGACACTCCCATCCCAATTATCCCAGTCACTGAATCAATCCACTCCATAGAGGGCCTTCCTCTCCTG